TAGATCAGTATCTGCTACACCGCCCACCTTGGTGTCGTCTGCAAATTTAACCAGTTTACTGTATTGACCAGATGCATGCCCTAGAAAGGCGGCGGAACCTGGTTCTGAGGCTCTGGGCTCTGGACCTGGAACTTTTGTAGCTCCTGTCCACTTTTATGTGTCACTTTCCCACCACACAACAGCAACTGGAGCCTTTGTGCTAAATAAACATCTGAGACTCAAAAAGCTCGTAGGTCAAACGTCACACAGAACGTGTGCGTGTGACAAGATAAAAAAAACAACAGCAAGGCCAGACCATAAAAGAGAAGACTTTTACGTTGAATTGCGAAGATCGAATTTTCCAAGGCAGAAATATGGAGACGCAAGCAAAATTTTTTACAAATGCATTTAATGTAGTTGACATCGATCTGATCCATTTTTGCATCATTATTTCGTTTTTTTTTTTTTCTTTGAACTTCTGTGTGACTTCCAAGTTGGCATCGCTGCTTGTGGTCGACTAATATGCTAAATAAATGCAGTACTTAGAGTTCCAAGGAAGTTTATGGTCCCTGAAAAAACATCCTGTGTTGGGAAGGTGATATGCCCTTCACGCTGTTTTCCAGTTTAATGCCAATGGAGATAATTCCAAATTGACAGGCTTTATTGTTTACTTCACACCCACTTTCTTCCGTCTATATACTGAATAAATTAGTTTAAGCGAAGCAGGCCCCCATAAAAAACTTTCCCATATATTGTCACGACTGGGGCTGGTGTGAACATTAAACACAGGCCCCGCTGGGAGGGGACGTTATCCTCTCATGCTCCCTGCAATAGCCTGAGGCTGTTCTTGGTGTCAGGGCCCCGTCAATGTTGTTATTTAATCACTTACGGCGTAGGAGTGTCTGCAGCGGCACTGACGGCTTCCAAAGAAAGTTGAGTGTACACATGCCTGCTGTGGGCTTGTGGGTTTTCCTCGTATTCTTTCATGGCCCCGTGACTGTCTGTGGGGCCCGAGCTCAGACTGACGCCGTCTCCCCCCCCCCGGGACGGCGCCTCAGAGCTGAAGGCTACCCTGGTTTGTCCGGCCACGGAGAAGCACGTGAAGAAGTACCAGCGGCGGGGGACTTTCCTGCTGTGGGAGACGGGGGAGGACTACCGGACCGTCACCCTGCCTTTCCTGCTGAGTCAGAGCTTCAGCTTGCAGGTGTGCGGTCCGCCTTCTTACCCATAGTGCACTGCGGCACAGCCCATGTGACATGCCAGACTGAAACATTACAGACAGATCTGAAATGTGATGCAGATGTGCGTATATGCATTCCAGGTGAAATTGCACTTTTATATTAACTTAATTACTTGTGCTACCACAGTTCTGGAGGCAAGCAGACGAGCATTTCATTGCACACTATACATACCGTATGACACTTTATGTGACAAATAACTGTGGGCTTTGTCCACATCCCTCTAACCGGGGGGGACAGTCCACATTTTTGCTCCCTCCCAGCTCTTAGCCAATCAAGAACACAGAATATCTGGTCTGGGTGTGTTGGGAGCTGGGAGGGAGCAAAAACGTGGACTGTCTGGGGCTCCCCAAGGACTGGGTTGGGAAGCGCTGCTCTAGGGTGTGTGTCAGTGCTCAGACCCTCCTTCTATGGCACCTAGCAGCCCTTAATGTGTCCATCTTGTCTCCTTCTCCTCACAGTGGGTTTACAACATCCTGGATAAGAAGGCAGAGGCCGATCGCATTGTCTTCGAGGATCCGGACCCACAAGTCGGCTTCGTCCTGCTCCCAGACTTTAAGTGGGACCAGAAGCAGGTAAAGCGATCCCAGAATCGGCCACCGATGGTGTTCTGCGGGTGGTGATGGTTCACTCAGGATGTCGCCTGTTTCATCCACAGCTGGACGACTTGTACCTCATCGCCATCGTCCACAAGAGGGACATCAAGAGCCTCCGAGACCTAAGAGGGGAACATCTGCGACTTCTGGAGAACATCCGCAGCAAGGGGGAGGTGAGGTAGCCACCCGGAGGGGGAGAGACACATGTCGCATTCCGTTTACCTCGGAACCGAGGTACCCGCATTTCGGTACAGCAAGTCCGCTATTTAGCAATACCCGGGACCTGTTTCAGAAAGGAAGACTTCTTGGTTAGCCCGATTAATTTGTCAGATTTAATGTGCCCCAGCGTAAACGGCCTTTAAATTCATTCTCTTGCATTTAGCTCAGACTACGACTACCTTTAATCCGACAAGTTATCCAGCTAAGCAAAAATCTGGCTTTGTGGTACAGGTAACCGGCAATGCAGTCTATTTACTTTTGAGTTTCGTCAAAGCAAATCAAATAGCATATCTATAATTTAATGGGGTATATGCATCATTAAATGTTTATATTGTTTAGCGTCAGTCTGGTGCATTTAATTGTTCTCTCTGCTCTTAAAAAAAAAAAAAAAAAGTAGCATATCTGTTTACATCTAATTGTGCGTTGAGTGTGACCTTAGTGATGGAGTCACCCCTGCATTGTACTAGTCCTCTAAACGCAGTTTTGGCATCTGTTTGCACATGCTGTCCTTGCCTGAGACCCTCGAGGGGCTGCCAATGTGCTGACCATGGCGTCCTCAGCTTGCAGCGCCCCCTGCAGGAAGCAGCAGACGTGGTGACCTCCAGAGGTGGACATTTCAGGTCCAGAAAGTAAAAATCCAGACCAGGATTGAGCATAAAGCAACCAGTTGAGCATAAAGAGTCTGTCACAGAGTACTGAACTGGCTGGTTGAAACAAAGTCCTGGTCTGGATTTTTACTTTCTGGACCTGAAATGTCTGCCTCTGGTGACCTCCCTGTCTGAGCTTAGCGCCTGGGACACCGGGATGGCTTCTGGTGCAGATTCTTTCTTTTGACTGTGAGCAAAAGCTGTATTTCTCCTGTCCGTCTGGGTCACCATGCTGTTGGTTCTGCTGGGGGGCAGCGTGTGGTTTAGCGGTTTAAGGTGCTCTGTCTCTGATCAGAAGGTTGATGGTTCACATCCCGAGGTCAGACAGTGATGTCACCTTTGGGCCCCTGAGTGAGGCCCTTAACTCCCAATTGCACTGACCCTGCTTCCTCGAAAGCAAATCACCATTTTTGCTCAGGGTCCGTTTGGTGAGTGTTCCCACTGTATTCCGGCTGCAGGATGCTGTCCGTCAGCGCTACGACATCGCCCCCAACAGGCTGCGTGTGTTCCTGCACTACCAGCCTTCCTACTATCACCTCCACGTTCACCTGACGGCCCTCAGCTACGAGGCCCCCGGTAGCACCGTGGAAAGGGCCCACCTCCTGTCCGACGTCATCCAGAACCTGCAGGCTGACCCAGACTACTACCGTGATCGAACCCTCGCCTTTCCCGCACACGCAGATGACGGACTCCTGGAAAAGTTTAAGGAAGCAGGCAGGCTCTAGGACCACAGCCGCATCTCGATCCTGCCGGTAGTCTCTCATGGTTTAGTTCTGCCCTGAGTTGGTGTTCTGTGTTTTGGTATTATTTTTTAATATGTTTTTTGTCATAAGCGGTTCATTGTTTATTAATAAAAAATTTTTTTAAACCATTTTAAGCTTAAGATTTAATTTTATGCCATAACCATCATTCATAATTGGATTTGGTTAACTACATACCGAGTTGGTTATGAATAAAACAGAAAATTACGCTCAGTGACGTCAACATGCTTATTGACAAGTGCTTTCAGGATACCTGGACCGACACGCATGCAGTCACACAATATTCATCATGTTAGGTCAGTCCTTTTGTGACTATTTTCTGATCACAATTCACCCTCCTGACTGCTGCACGGCACCAAAATGAGATTAATAAAGTTCCATGTAACTGTGATACAGTGGTTAGTCAAGTTCTGGATTTAATAGCTTCTTTTAAAAGAGAATCAGCAGATGTTGCCATTGTGTAATCATTACTTTCTAATGAATAGGAGAGGCGAACAGTTTACAGGGTTATCAGTGTTTAAGTTGGCATAATCTGACAGTGTGTAACAATACAATGAAGATTGGTATAGCGCTCGTTTAGCCTATCATTTCTAACCGTATTAATCCCAATGAAAATTACCCTTGGTACCTTTTTAAGATGGCTACTTATTTAACAAACAAGTCTGAACCTCTGCTACTAAGTAATATTGGTAGTAAATATTTTATGGACTTAAAAACATTTGTGAACTGTTTATGTTTGATGTCTGATGTTGTATGAGTGATGCGAACATAATATGCGCTCGTCCTTTGTGTTTGAATTAGTTGATGGACAATGAACAAAACTTACCGCCTCTTTAAAAACTGCCGGGGAGATCTGACGGCACACATCACTGGTATAATGAAGACATCCTTCTCCTCGGGCGCTTTTCCAAAACAATTTCAAGTAAACGAAACTTGGATCGCAGCTGCTCAGCAATTACAGATTCGTTTCAAATACCTGGTTTGTGTCCAAAATTCTACAGAGAAAATAGTCATGGCCCATTTTCAGTTTAGCCTTCCAGAAGGACAACTACGAGCCGACTAACGAGAGCAAGTGTCAAACGTGTGGTTGTCACGTAGACCGAAGATACCGGGGGGGGGGGGAGATGCCCAAAGGGCTTTAAAAGGGATACAGCTGATACATATGGCAGAGCCCCCTCCTGTGCATGCTGAATGTATGTCAGACGGCCGCTCCCGGATTGCAATCTGTCAGAGAATAAACCGGGGATTTGCAACTTCTCCCCGTGTCAGCTGTGAATCTCTTCTCATCCACGGACCCGGTGGAGACGGCGAACTCCAACACTTCGTAGTCCGAAAAGATGCCTAACTGTCACAGGCTGGTCATCTCCAAATAATAAAGGGAAATCCTTTTCAGACTTCTAGATAGCCAAACAGGCACAGGCCATAGTTTAAACTGCAAACTAAGATGAGCTCATCTGAAAGCAATTGCTGCTTACTTATTGCTCGATTCTCTAGGGGCGTAGATCTGGCCGAGCCTCCTCCACCCTAGGGTGACCAGATAATCCATGTCAGGGAGGACACTCTGAGCTAGGACAGGAATTGTAAATTACCATTTCAATTAAGCGGACCTGGATTTCACTTGAGCACTGAGTTCTTGCTGTGTGCTGATTGGTCAGTCTCCTATAATCATGCATGTGTCACTAATGTTAATGTGAAACAGCTGGATGAGTCTTTCAGTCAAGGAAATAAACCATTCAAAGCACAAGAAGAGCTGAACTAATTAGCCGAGCACAGGAGCCTTTCAATTTGAAAGTAGTTTGTAAAACCTGAAGTAGCTCAAAGTGTCCTCCCTGACATGGATTATCTGGTCACCCTACTCCACCCCCACTTGGAAAAATGAACCGGGGGGGGGATCCCTGATTTTATCATAGCTATGTATTTGCAGTAACCCTATATGGGCAAAAGTCCAGTGCTGATTTTGTGCTCAGTGCAGCCCTGTTGATGCCAGGGCCCAATGCCTGATTGATCCTTGTGTTGGTTGGCTTGATTAATAGATGACAATAAATACTTTACTGAGCTCAGATTATGATGATTAAGTTATTAATCTTTTGGACTTTCTATGTGTGACTGAGACGTGGCTGGGTGTTGGTGAGTCCAGTGCTTTCGCTGAATTTTTACCTCATGACTGTTGCTATTTTAACTCCCCACGGATGTTGGGTCGAGGAGGTGGATTAGCGACGATTTTTAGAAATTTTAAATGTAAGAAGATGTCGCTGTCGGTCTCTTTCAGCAGCTTTGAACATAGCGTGTTTGAGGTGGGAAGTCATCATAAAATGCTGTGTGCAATCATCTATCGGCCTCCTAAATATAACCGGGACTTTTTTAATGATTTTTCTGATTTTATGGCTGAAATTAAGCCTAAATATGACCACATTCTTATTGTAGGAGATTTTAATGTTCATGTATGTTGCCCTGATAAGCCAATGACAAAGGACTTTTTGAACCTAATTGACTCTTTTAATCTTGTGCACTGGGTATTTGGTCCTACTCATGAAAGAGGGCATACGCTCGATCTTGTTTTATCGTACGGGTTATCTGTTCTTAACTTGGAGATCTGTGAGGCTGGGTTTTCTGATCATATGCCTGTACTGTTTGAGGTTGATCTTGTATACAATACAGTGAAACCTCGCGCTGCTGTTCGGCGCTGTCGCAATATCAACCCTACTACTGCTGCTCAGTTTTCTGCCATTTTTACTGAGAATTATCCAGTTCATGATGTTATGTGTAACAGTACTGATGAGATTCGCTCATGGTTTGCTTGCCAAACAGTTCTGGACACCGTGGCTCCCATTAAAACCAGGCGCCAAAAAAGTAGGTCTGAGCCTTGGCTAAACGATGAGACTCGTGCAGTTAGACGCGAGTGTCGTAGAATCCAGCGTAAATGGAAAAAGGACAAACTTCAGGTGTCCTTTCAAATGTTACGCGACTGTTGGAGTCGTTATCGGAAAACTGTGAAGGATGCCAAGAGCAATTATTTCTCTGATGTTGTTTCATTATGCTGTCATAAACCTCGTGTGTTGTTTACGACTATTAATTTGTTACTCAATGTTCCACAGATGAACTGTATTGAGTCTTCTTCAGACGTTTGCGAAGATTTTCTTAACTTTTTTATTGATAAGTTCTCTTCTGCTAGGGCCTTAATATCATCCCGAGCGTTAATTCATTTCCCCTCCGTCTCGGTGCCTTGCAGTGCTGTTTTTGATGAGTTTCAACCTGTAAACTTTGTCATTTTTACAAGAGATTGTAGGGCATTTGAAGCCCTCTGGATCTCCTTATGATGCTATTCCTCCTCGGCTGTTTAAAGAAGTGTTTAGCACTGTTGGCCCCCGCTGCTCTTGTTCTTGTTAACAGCAGTCTTTCTACAGGTCTAGTACCAAAATCTTTCAAACATGCTGTTCTTCAACCTCTTCATAAAAAACCAGTTTTAGATTCCACAGTTCTCGAGAACTACAGACCCATTTCGAAACTACCCTTTATTTCTAAAGTTATTGAGAAGATTGTGTACAGTCAATTAATTGCTTTTCTGGAAAATCATAATATTTTAGAAGTGTTTCAATCTGGATTTAAAACCTTACACAGCACTGAGTCAGCACTGCTAAAAGTGTTTAATGATATATTTTTAGCCACTGACTCCGGTGACTGTGCTGTTCTCGTCCTCTTGGATCTAACTGCTGCATTTGATACTGTGGATCATGATATTCTGCTTTCTCGTTTGGAGCAGTGTGTGGGCATCAGGGGCATAGCATTGGAGTGGTTCCGATCCTACCTGGCGCACCGAACCGTCTGTGTGTCACTTGATGATTCTGTGTCCTCCATTGCTCCTCTACTACATGGGGTGCCACAGGGCTCAATTCTTGGCCCCCTTCTGTTTTCTATATATCTGCTCCCACTTGGCTCCATTCTTAGGAAGCATGGCATTTCGTTCCACTTTTACGCGGATGATAGTCAGATATATGTTCCTCTAAAAAAGAAAGATAACTACTCGGTGACACCTTTACTAAGGTGTTTTGAGGAAATAAAGTCCTGGTTAACCCTCAATTTTTTTAAACTCAATGAAAAAAAGACAGAGGTGATGGTTTTTGGAGGATCTGCTCAGAACCCTCATGTGGATCGGGGTCCTTTATCTAAATATGTAAAACCAGTCATCTCAGATTTCGGTGTCAAAGTGGATATCGATCTTAGATTTGATAGTTAGATTAGAGATGTTGTGAAATCAAGCTACTTTCATTTGAGAAATCTGGCTAAAATAAAATCTATTCTCCCTAGGGATCTTTTTGAGACAGTAATTCACGCCTTTGTCACCAATCGAATTGATTATTGCAATGCACTCTATGTAGGGGTTAATGGTTCCTATATTGCTCAACATCAGCGGGTACAAAATGCTGCAGCACGTCTGTTAACAGGCACTGGGAAGTTTGAGCACATTTCCCCAGTATTGGCCTCACTTCACTGGCTGCCTATATATTTGAGGATTAATTTTAAAATTCTCTTGTTTACTTTTAAAGCATTAAATGGTCTGGCCCCGACCTACCTGTCTGAGCTACTTCATCCGTATTCGCCATCCCGTTCTCTTAGGTCAGCTGATCAGCTGCTCCTGTGTCTGCCGAAAACTAAGCGTAAGCTTAGAGGGGATCGGGCTTTTGCTATTGCAGCCCCAACGTTGTGGAATAAATTGCCTTTACATATTAGACAGGCTTCTTCCGTTGCTGTTTTTAAATCTCTTCTTAAAACCCATTATTTTTCTATGGCATTTCATGACTCGCAATTTGTTGGCAGATGATTATTTGACTATTTTGCGTCATTTGTTCGTATTTTATAGTGCTTGTTTCTAATTTTGTTTTATGTCTTTGTTTATTACTGTTACATGTGCTATTAGCTTTTATTTGTTTCTTTTTTGGATTCTGTACAGCACTTTGGCCCAGAGTGGGTTTGTAAAGAGCTCTATAAATAAAGTTGGTATGGTATGGTATATTAAACTTATGATGATTAATAACTTAATCATCAATATTAAACTTCCTCCTACGCCGATGCGTAAATATAAATGCATCTTTTAAGAAAATTCCGTTTCGGTTGGCGCGAAGTGCATGTGTGGACTGAGTGTTGGGTGGCACGGGAAACCATACTGGAGCCGTTTGGTGTGTGATGTGCCCGCAGTATTCCGCTACTTGGGCAACTGGGGGCCGCCTGTACAGCAGCTGTCTGAACCACTGCCAACGGGCGGGCATCTCGCCGACGCGCTTTCAATCTCACTCCCATTCGCGCAGGCAGCACCCGCAGAGCAAACATCTGCAAACCAATAGAGCTTCTTTACTGAAATGCTTATAGCGGTGAGTCCATGTCACCATACGCGATTGCAAGAGACGCGCGGATATCTCCATCCACCCATCTTCTGTAACCGCTCATCCGATTTAGTGGGGGGAACGGAAGTGCGCATATCTATGTATAGCGTTTACTGGTAAGACATGAGGAGGGCAGGGGTAGGAGCACCAGCAATAGATTGACAGACAAAAAGGGAAGCTGTACTTGTTTCTCTAAATTCTATACTTTGAATGAACGCAGGGTGTCTTAACAGAAAACAGTCGTAAGTAATTTGAGCACAAAATAATAAAACAACACTGCTACCTTCCTGACTTTGGCACTGGCAGAAAGAACAACCTTACGTTACCATCTCCCATGAAATTCACTATATGAAGGCGCAAGTAACTGAGCGAGTCCCGTCTCCGGTGAGTAGCAGCGATGAGTCGGAATAAAGTTTGACGCTTTGGGGTTTAAGATAAGATCTGGGTTAACGCTGATCTATATATGTACGAAGTGTGTGCTTTTAGTTTAAATAGAGGGTTGTCAGAGGGGCGCTGAAATTGTGTTAAAGTCGTATAAATAACTACCGACGATCTCATGCACGACGGTCCTATTGCCTGGGAAGCTCTTCGAGCGTGGTGAAATTGGTTTTATATTAGCTAGATATTCGGCTTTACCTTCCCTATATCTTAGAAACGACCCCATCAAAATCAGTAAACTAACATTTCTGTTTCAGAAGGATAGGCTATATACAGATTCTACTACCACATATAGTATAGTGACTGATATGTTCATTCTTTTAAACGTCGTCATGCAGCGTTTTCCGCGAAATCGATAAATTATTGTTAGAAACCCAATCCTGTGTTAAGGATCGTCTCTAAAGTGCATTCAGTACGAATGAGGGAACGAGGGCTTGATACTGGAGCATTTCTGCTACGATTTTCTAGCAGACAAATCCGTGAAGTTCTTCACGTATATACTAAACCGATTTGTGACACTTCAAAGTATGTAGCCTAGTAGTTGCCAAATATTATGATGACTGACTTACTGCAAGTTGAACTTCTCAGAAAGCTCCAATGTTCAGTATATACTGTAGTAATTCGATGTATACTAAAAAAGCGTCCACATCAGTTTCTCTTACTTGAAAGGTTGTAGAAGTTGCCAAATGTGATGACTGACTTACGCTACTGTTCAAAAGTTTGGTGTCAGAAATTTCTTCGCTTTTGAAAAAAGCAAGTTTTTTTTGTCCATTAAAATAACATCAGATTGATCAGAAATACCGTGTAGACATTGTCAATGTTGTAAATGACTATCACAACTGGAAATGGCTGTTTTGGTGTACAGAGGCCCATTGTCAGCAACAATTAGCCCTGTGTTCCAGTGGAATGTTGTATTTGCTAATGCAAGTTAATCATTTTAAAAGGTTAATTTATCATTAGAAAACCCTTTTGCAATTATGTTAGCACAGATGAAACCCCCCCCAAATTCCCTACAAGGGGACAATGATGCCCCGGGGTTGGGGGTTGGCCATCAGAGGCCAGTTATATGTGCCAGAGCAGCAAGGAACAAAAAGGAAGCGTTGAACCGTCATGTCTGATATGCTCGAAAAGGTCGTATCCGTAATACAGTTGCACCGAGAAGCGCTGCTTTGTATTTTCTATAATGCTTCCATTTGGAAAATAAAATAGCATAATCCATATTTCCTTTTTCTTTTGAGGACCACGTATTTACATTAGATCCAACCCTTCATGCACCAAACGAATAGCCTTTTTACAGTTAGGATTAGAATATGCCTGCTGACTGATTACCTTCCTTTCACATGGTCGTAATCCACCTTGTCCTCAGTACACAAGTACTGAGGACACAAAGGACCAGGGGAGTTTCTAGCTATTGAAATGAACAGGGACTAAGTCAAGTTTACCTGGGGCTTGATTTTTTTTATTTATTATTTATTTTATTTTTTTTGAAGGAGGATGATTGGCATCGGGGCTAAAACACTCAGCACTCATCTTAAAATACTCGGGGCTGTAGCTACAAGTAATCGGACTTAACAATGCCTATTGGAAGGATTGTTTCAGTCGTAAAACCCATGCAAAATATCTAGCAAAATAAATAACTGAAGGTGTCAGTATGAGAAGGCCGGGCAATATGGACCATTTCTCTCTCTCTCTCTTTCTCTCTCTCTCTCCCCCTCTCATATATATATACACACAGACACACACATATAAAACGAAAGAGAAGCCAAAACGGAGACGTTGCGTGACCCAATTTCGGCCAAGCTTTAGCTGTCAGACAGATGGCCTCCTCACATTTGACTCTACATTACTTTGGTGTGCAGAGGAGTTCATGGTCGACTCAATGACTGCAAGGTGCCCAGGTCCTGTGGCTGTGAAATAAGCCGAAATCATCAGCCCTCCGCCACTGTGCTTGACAGTCGGTATAAAGCGTTTGTGCTAATATGCTGTTTGGTTTTTGCCAAACGTGGCGCTGTGCATTATGACCAAACATCTCCACTTTGGTCTCTTCTGTGCAAAGGACATTGTTCCAGAAGTCTTGTGGTTTGCTCAGATACACATTTGCAAATCTAAGGTGTGCTGGTGTGTTGTTTTTAGAGCGAAGACGCAACCCTGGCAACCCTTCCAAACAAGCAATACTTGTTTAGTATTTTCTAATTGTACTGTCATGAACTTTAACATTTAACATGCTAAGTTAGGCCTGTACAGTCTGAGATGTAGCTCTTGGGTTTTTTTGCATTTTCTCTGAGCATTGCATGGTCTGATCTTGGGGTGAATGTGTGGGGAAGTCCTCTCTTGGGAAGATTGGCAACTGTCTAGAATGTTTTCCACTTTTGTATAATCTTTCTCACTGTGGAATAATATACTTCAGATTGTTTGGAAATGGCTTTATAACCCTTCCCAGATTGATGGGTAGCAACAATTACTTTTCTGAGATCATTGCTAATGTCTTTCCTCCTTGGCATTCTGTTAACACACATCTGAATGCTCCAGATCAACAAACTGCCAAAACTCCTGCTTTTATAGAAGGGGTCACACTTGCTGATGATCAGTTAATCAAATATATTTGATTAGCAGCAGACGTCTGCTACTTACCCTCTAAATTCCTATGGAAGCAGTAATTTTTCACACACCGTGTCTGCATTTTGGCTTAGTTTTTTTTTTAATGAATAAATAAATAATACCATGGTATAATATGTCATGTGTTGTTCATCTGATGTTGTATTTACCTAATTTTAAGACCTGCTAAGGACCAGATGATTTTTTTATGTCCTGATATGTAAAACCTTGGAACTGAAAGAGGGTGTACTTTCTTTTTCATATGACTGTATATATGTTATATATATATATATATATACACACACACACACACACACACACACTACAGTATATGGAGAAAAGTATTGGGACACAAATTTAATTATTGAACTGAGGTAATTGAGGTATTCCGTTCAGACTTCGTTCCAGAGGTGTATAAAATCAAGACATGCAATCAAGTTTACAAACATTTGTTAAAGAATGGGTCATACAAACGTGATACTGTCATAGGATGCCGCCTTCGCAATAAGTCTGTGAAATTTCTTCCCTGCTAGATATTCCACGGTCAACTGTAAGTGGT